AGTATGTCCGTACGAGTAGATATTGTTCTTAAAACTGTGCGCTGCTTGTATGTCATCAAAGTTGGTGTCGTCTGTTGGCTATCGTTGCACGCACTTCCACTGGAGGTCCAAGGTTTGATTCCATGCAAAGCGCTCGTATTTTTGTTTTCTGTATTTTCAATTCCGCGATACAGTGCAGTACTGGGCCAGCCAACAGACTCTATGCGACATTGGCTGTTTTGGCGGCTCGTCTGTAGCATCCGCCCATGTCTCCCACCAGGATTTCCTATTTGACGCATCATGTGTCAGATTGACGGAGGTTTGCAGAGGCGAGTGACGCGAAGAGCTCAGTGGGCCGGGGCCCATTAAGCGGTTACGGATGGGTGGTTTTCTCCTGCTTCTGGGAACCTTCCGAACCGGTTTTCTTTTTTCCTGTTTGTTTTTCGAGGCTGGTTTTCTTTTAGTTTTTTTTTCGTCTTTCCTTTCTGTTTCTTTTTTATTTTCGTTTTTATCTTTTATGTTTCTATCTTCTTTTTTCATTTCTTTCCTTTTTCTGTTTCTTTTTCAGAATTCGCAAATTTAAAAAATGCTCAGAATTCAAAATTATTTCTCAAATTTGAAAATATGTTTGGAGTTTTCAAAAAAATGTTCGTGTGTTCAAAACAAATTTCCCAATTGAAAAAATTGTTCATGTTTTCATAAATGTTTCCAAATTTTAAATTTTTGTTTGCTTTTTCAAAAATTTCGTAAAATTGAAAAATATCATATTTTCAGAAAATGTTCGTGTTTTCAAAAATTTCAAAACAATTCACCCGTTTCAAGATAATGTTCGCGTATTCGTCTTTCTGAAAAATGTTCGCACTTTCAAAACAATGTTCATCTTTCTGAAGAATGTTCGTCTTTCTGAAAAATGTTCACACAATCAAAACAATGTTTGCAGTTTTCAAAAAAATCAATCAAATTAAAAAAATGTTCACACATATCAAAATATGTTCAAATTTTTCGAAAAATATTCGTGTCTTCAGAAAACTATTCAATTTTTGAAACATCTCATATATATTTTTCAAAGAGTTTATGGTTTCAAAAGACATTTCAAAATTTGAAGAATGTTTGTTTAAAAAAAATGCATTAGCTACTGTCTACTCCTACAGTCATTTTACTTGCCTACAGTATGTCCGTATGAGTAGATAGTTCTTAAAACTGTGCACTGCTTGTATGTCATCAAAGTTGGTGTGGTCTGTTGGCTATCATCGTGCGCACTTTCACTATAGGTCCAGGGTTTGATTCCATGCAAAAGCGCTTGCATTTTTTGTTTTCTGTATTTTCAATTCCGCGATACAGTGTAGTACTGGGCCAGCCCAGGCTAGAACGCGACACATAGGAGGTCCCCCTCCCACCACCAAATATGCTACATCGACGGGCTTAATACGGGGCTTTTACGGACCCTTCCTTTCAACTAAACTTGGCCCCCCTTGATTTCCAGGGTGATGGGGCCCCGCCCTCTCCCTTTGTCCAATCACATTTTGCCAACTCAAATTCACCCTGTAAAATGCCTGTAAGAATCCGTTGATGTAGCATTGCTCTCCCAGCACCGACACCTCCCCCGGGCAATTCCTACGGGAGCTCCTATACGGCGCCGGTAGGCGCTAGCGGCGCTCGCTAGCGATGCCTAGTGGGCCGGCCCAACAACTGACTGAATAAGGAAACGTGAAGAAAAAATAGACCTTCCTAACTCTTCTGTAAACTCTACAAAAACTAATGAAAATATGGCATAGCTGGGATTGGAACCAAGTATGACATCATTCAGAACTTATCGCGGTAACCATTAGACCATCCTAACTCTTCTGTAAACTCTACAAAAACAGACCTACTTAAGGTTTCATTAGTAAAATGTTAAAACTGCAGAAAAACCAATATAAATTATTTTGCAAAAAGTAAAGTCTAGCTTTCGCCTTCTATTCCTTTTGGAAGGGGGCTCGGGGGAAACCTTTTATCGGAAAATATAACTGAGTCAATTTGCCCAAATTTTCAATTCGCAAAATTCATGTGACTAAAAAACATTCCTTTCTTTAGTCTTCATTCAGAACTTATCGCGGTAACCACTAGACCATCCTAACTCTTCTGTAAACTCTACAAAAACAGACCTACTTAAGGTTTCATTAGTAAAACGTTAAAATTGCAGGAAAACCAATATAAATTATTTTGCAAAAAGTAAATTAGAGAACAACTTCATATATTTTTAGAAAAGTTCATAAAATTTATAAAGCTCGTCGATTTTTAAAAATATTTCATTGATTTTGGAAAAAATCATTGATTTTGAAAAGAATTCATCCATTTTGAAAAAAGTTCACCGATTTTGAAAAAATATTCATCGATTGTGAAAAGATTTCATCGATTTGAAAAATAGTTCATCGATTTTGAAAAAAGTTCATCGATTTTGAAAAAAAGTTCATCGATTTTGAAAAGAGTTCATCGATTTTGGAAAAGAGTTCGTCGATTTTGAAAAGAGTTCATTGATTCTGAAAAGAGTTCATCCATTTTGAAAAGAGTTCGTCAATTTTTAAAAGAGTTCATCTATTTCGAGAAAAAGTTCATCAATTTTGAAAAGAGTTTGTCGATTTTGAAAAGAGTTTGTCGATTTTGAAAAGAGTTCATCTATTTTGAAAAGATTTTTTCAATTTCAGAAAGAGTTCATCGATTTTGAAAAAAAGTTCGTTCAAATTAGCAAAAGAAAATAAAGATTAAAGATTAAAAAACCAAACAAAACCGTTCTGAATAAAAAACGAAAAACTAAAGGGAATAAAAAACAGCGAAAAACCTTCCGAATAAAAAAGAAAGACGAAAAAAGGGAAAAAGAAAGAGGAACGTAGGAACAAAAGGAGAGGAAGTAGAAGTTGAGCAACTAACGCTAGACACTGGAGTGGCTAGTGTATCACGCGAATAACAGTGAATGCGTGGTTCCTTTTTCGTCTAACAACAGAAAGAAATAATAAGATGGGCCGAGCCCAGCTAGGATGGCTGCAGGCGCCGGTTTGCAGAAACAGTAATATTTGGCTTGCCAACTATTGGCAATACCGAGACTTGTCAATTATTGACAATTTTATGTGAGAGAGGCAAAACAACTCGTAGCCAACCAAATAGTTGCCAATATTTGGCACAATGCCAAACATTGGCATGCCAATTTTTGGCGGCAAACCAATTATGCTCACAATTCCTACTGTCGGCCCAATTATGCAAACAAATTTTTTGAATTATTTTTAAAACTTCATGAACTATTTTCAGTTTGGATGAAAATTTTGAAATTTGAAGAACTATTTAAAAAAATGGATGAACATTTTTCAAATTTAATGTAATTTTTTCCAAATTGATGAACTTTTGTTTTCAAATTTGATGAACTTTAAAAAAACAGATGAACCATTTTCAAATTTGATGAACCTTTTTCAAACCGATGAACTTTTGTGTTGAATTCAATGAAATTTTTTAAAAATTGATGGACTCTTTTCCAAATTTTTGAATTTTTTTTCTAAATCGATGAACTTTTTTTTAATTTTGTGAACTTTTTCTCAAGATGATTAACTTTTTTTCAAAGCAATGAACTCTTTTCTTTTCCACAAACTCTTTTGAATTTCTATGAATTTTTTTTTCAAATTCGTAACTGTTTTCTGTATTTTTATAGAATTCTGTTTCGAATTTATATTTTATTTTTAAAATAATGTACACTGGATATATATAGTACTATGTGTTAACTACAGGAAGGTCAAATAGAGATTTTTCTTGTTTCGTTGTCAATGGAATACCTTGCGCTAGGGGTTCGAACCCCAATATTCACGAATTGCTATAGGAAAATAAGCCCCTATATTTTTTTTTTGCAGATTGTTAGCAATGTTTTTAGTTGGGCCACGACCCATTGCCGGTCGCTGTAGGCGCCCGTTGGACAAGTGGCGCCTACAGCACCGACTAGGAGCTCCCCCTCCCCTGCCAGAACCACGGACTTTTCTACATCAAGGGGCAATTTACAGGGGGTTTATGGGCTGGCCGCCCAGCCCATCAGTGAAAATCAGGGGGAAGGGGGGCAATTAATTAGGAGGAGGGGGTTATTTAGCGCAATTAAAACTGGACAAGTAAGCTGGTCCGTAAAGTTCCGTCTGTGTGTCTAGCATTTTCGCCAGAACCACCCTACATACGTTCCATTTCTCCCATCGTTTTAAATAGCCCGCTATAGTTTCGCTATAGCACGCTATATCGTTTAGAAGAGGTCCTACGCTAAGGGTCTTTTGTGCAAACACATGAGCAAACATTTTAAATAGCTCGCTATAGCACCGGACGCTATAGCATTTTAAAGAGGTCCGCCGCTAACAGGCTTAGCGCGCTATTTAAAACTTTGTTTCCTCCTCTCCTCTCCTTTGTAGGAATGTCTACTTTTTTGCTAAAAAAATAAGAAGGAATGATCTACGTTTTCCAGGAGAGCATTCCCTCCGTGCTCTGTAGCGTCCGCCCATGTCTCCTTCGCTCACCCCACCACCGACACCTCCCCCGGCCGGTAGAGCCAGCCTACGTACGTTCGATTTCTCCTGTCCTCTCCTCCAGCATCTTCCAATTCGGTGCTCCCACTTGGACGGGAGGCGCAAGGCCTTCTTTCCTCCTCTCTCCCGCCGCCCACGCCTCTCGGCAACCTCCGACCGTTGCTTCCCGTGGTCACCGTCGCTTTCGGCCGGTTGCTCGGGTTGAACCAGCGGCGCTTTAGCTGTAGAGCACGTGAAAGGTCGTGGTTGCCAACCAGCCCCCACGTTCCCACCCGATTAGAAAATCCCCTCCCTGCTTTCCAACGCCACCCACCGCCGCGCGCCGCCGTCAACGACGCCAAACGCGCCTTGTTTCCTACTCCAAGATCCCACGCTACGTATAAAGAGCACCCCCTCTGCTAGTTGGCAGCCAGGCTAGCTCTCTCGCTCCTTCGTCCTCGCAAGCATCACACCAGGTCCACCGTAGGAGCAAGGAAGGGAGATCCACCTAACCCACCAATGGCGGCCGCTGCTTCCTCCAGCGCGTGGAAGGCGAGGTGGCTCCGCCCCGAGGTACGCACCGCTCCCTCCCATGCAGTGTTCTTTCATTTCATCTGATCTAGCTTAGTTTAGCGATCTCGCTCGCTGGGTTTGTGATGGCCATGGTCTCACGACGGTAGCATGGTCTTGGCAGGCGTACCCTATCTTTGCGGCGACGGGCGTGGCCGTGGGGATCTGCGTCATGCAGCTGGTGCGCAACATCACCACCAACCCCGAGGTCCGGGTGACCAAGGAGAACAGGGCGGCCGGGGTGCTGGACAACCACGACGAGGGCCGCCGCTACGCGCGCCACCCCTTCCGGAGGTTCATCGACGGCAAGTCCGCCGAGATCATGCCCGGCATCAACAGCTTCTTCACCGCCCCACCAAAGAACTAGACGTCGTTGTCGTCGCCGTCGGAGAGCTCTTTCTTCAACTTGAAGGGTGGAATCAATCCCTTCGCGAGAATTACATTCTTTTTTCCGCATGAATTCAAGTATTATTCGCCATGATTGATTGTCAGGCGCTGTACTATATTGATTTTTGTGATCATATATAAGTATAAAACTTGATCTGAATAATCCCTATGTCTTGAACAACTATTACGCGCGCGCGTGTGTCTTTCTCTACCACCAAAAGTGTTAAAGTAAATTGTTCTGAAGATTCCCGCAGAAAAAAAATTATTCTGAAGATTGATCGGAAGTGATCGGTTGCATTTCGCAGTTTGTCTTGGCCGCCGACGAATTGTTCAGTCTGATTGTGTAGGTGCCAGGAATTTCAATTTGTTTTACTGGCTTGATGAGTGTTTGATTTTCATCGCCAGGTTGGCACCATTTTAGTTTGTGCTCGTCTTCCCCGTCCGAACTAGCCAAGTCGGCAGGCTTTTTCCTCGCATGTTTGGTCAACACAGAACTCGACAGCGGCCTTCTTCCTTGGAAGGTGTCAAACTAGTGCACAACACGCTGGTTAGACTACTCACAGTGGGAAGTAATTTAGAGTAGTAACATGCATATGTTAGAGCAACTCCAACACAAGGACCCAAACGGACATGGATTTTGTCAGTTTCATGTCTGTTTGGGTCACCTGTCCGCCTAGCGGATATGGGGCGGACAAGCATTGTACCCAACGCGCAGCACAAAAGCAGACCCAAACTCCTCGCGCCGCCCGCCCCCTCCTCTCTCCCTCGCGCCGCCCGTCCCCTCCTCGTCGCGGCACCCGTCCTATCTCCCTCACGCCGCCCCTCCTCTCCTCCTCGCGGATCCCCTCCCTCGCGAGTTTTTTCTCTGCTCGCACCTCTGCTGCAGCCACCCCCTGCTCGCGCCGCCGTCTGGGCCTCGAGCCCCAGCAGGAGCGCGTGGAGGAGCCCTGCGCCGGTGGCCTCGCTGCGGCACGGAAGAGCGGACGAGCGCGCGGAGGAGACCTGCGCCGGTGGCCTCGCCAGGGCGTGGAGGAGCGGCCGAGCGCACGGAGGAGCCCTGCGCCGGTGGCCTCGTAGCGGCGCGGAGGAGCGGCCGATCGGGCGGAGGAGACCTGCGCCGGTGGCCTCGC